TGTGCATGCCATTTCGCTTGACGCAAACTAAGTACATGTGCAGTCACATACGTGCCTGGATAGAGGGCAGGTAACTTGCAGCTTCTACTCTTGGACGCTTGCCAAAGCAACATGAAGTTTGTCGGTTTTGCAAGCCGCGTGCTGTAATTGCATTCTCGGAGGTCTTGAAACCTAAAGCTTGCATGTGCCGCAGAGTTTGAAATCAAGGGTCGCGAGTATTCCTTTCAATCGCTGCCTGTCATGAGCACGCCGGCTACCGGGTTCCGCAATCTTGGCGCCTCATGCTTTGTGAACGCAGGCCTCCAGCTGGTCTTCGCAGTCCCGGGCTTTGTCGAAGCCGTTGCCAATGGTCACTCGGAGACAGAAAAGGCAGTGAAGGCAGCTGCGGAGTTGTTGATTCACCACCCGCGTAGCAGCTCGGTGCCCACAAGCGTGACAGACATCTTCTATCGTGGAGTCCAAGAAGACATGGCCGAATTTGTGGTCAGGCTTCTGGACAGGTGCCAAAGCACACATGCCATGATGCGCGGTCAGGAGACTGCGAAGCTGCGATGTAGACATTGCGGGTTCTCTCGGTCGTTGCCACCAGAGGCCTTCCTGACTTTGCAAGTGCCGCTGACCACAACAACCTCGAGCGTGCAACAAGCTCTCGACAACTACCTGGCGACCGAGTGCGTGCAAGCGAATGTGGAAGAGTGGTTCTGCGTGAATGACGTCTGTCTGGACTCTGGCATTGCGGAAGAAGACCCGGTCCACGTCACGAGCATCAACAAGTGGCCTGACGTACTTCTTCTTTGCGTCAAGCGCTGGGATGCCTTGCGCGGATTGATTGCTCAGCAAATCCATTGCAGCACGACCCTCTCCGCCGGCGGCAATGAGTACCGCTTGCAGGCCTTGGCTACTCACATCGGTGCCACACCTTCATCCGGACATTATGTGGCCTACCGGCGTCGAGGCGCCGGCTTCGTTCAGCTCAACGATCACATGGTCTCGCCGCTGAAGGCCCAGGATGAGGACTTCTTCGTGACCATGCCTGACGAGAAGGTTTACATGTTGGCCTACGTAAAGAATTCTGCGGAAACTCGTTCCACAGCACCGGTTGCGATGCCCAAGTTCAATTTCAAGCGTCCTCCGCGCGCAGACGCGGCAGCCATCGACCTGGACTCCGACACGGACTCCGACGTTGTGACAGTGTTCGCCACCCCACCCACTTCGAAGCGAAGAATCAAAGACCTCGACTCCGACTCGGATAAGGATGTGCACAGATCCCAGACACAACAAGGAGGCCACACGCGTCTGCGAGGCTTGCAGCACTACACGGACGCAGAGCTCACGACGATCGCGGTGGCAATCCGGAACGGCACGACTTTCTCGCAAGTCTTACAGACATTGAAGATGAAAATGCCAAAGCTAAACCTGGAAGACAAGAGCTCGACAAACTACCTCAGCCCCTACACGCTTCGCAATTGGATTCGGAAGCCAGCGAACATGGAGACGGCAATTGCAAAAGTGCGGCAAGAACGGCTGCAGCAACCGAAAGGAGAACGCAAGCCTAAGGTTGGAAGTGTACGGAAGACACTTACAAATGAACACCGCAAGCTGATCGGAGATGCGCTCCAATGCGCGAGCTCCTGGCCTCATCTGCTTGCAATTCTGAAAGAAACTCTTCCAGGATTTAGCTGCGACGACAAAACGGCATCCTGCTATATCCCACACTCCACCCTGCACAGTTGGCTCGATAAAAGAAGTGAATCGCGTTGGTTAGATGAGCCTGAGCCAACGACTTGGTCAGAAGAGCATGAGCAAAACTTCAGCGTTGCTTTCGATAGACCTGCCAAAAGGCAGCTTGGATCGACAGCTGTGAGCGACGTCAATGGCCTCTGGTTGCGCAACGGATCCTGGGTGTTCTGTCCTGCCTGTGGCCGTCGTCACGCTCGGGTTCACACCGACAAGTTCTCTCTGAAGGAGTATGCGGCATCCTCTCCGTGCTACCCCTTCTGCGACCCCACTGCTGAGGACTTGCTCACCAAAGCTCCTGTTAAGAAAGCCCGTGAAAGACTTCGAGCTTACGTGACACCACAGGTGGACACTTGGCGGCCATGGTGCCAGGATATTGCCAACGGCAACCTGCCTTTGACAACACTACTGACAAAGCAAGAACTTCAAGACCTCGCAGTGCTTGACATCCATGTGGACTATCAATCCAGACGCGGTGGCCACGCTGTTATCCAGAGCAAACAAAAACGATCCGTAGTTCGCTGTCGCTGGCATGCTTCTCCACTACGTGACCTTGCACGCGACAACAACGCAGCCCGGGCTTTCACATGGTTGCTTCAGAACAACGACACCTACAAAGGATTCGTGGACAAGCACGCCGCCCTCATCCAGGAGCGTGGAAAGGAATTCTGCCGAGACGTTCCTACGGCTGCGCTCTTGCTGGGCTCGCCTGGCATAGAAGTCGCTGTGCGTCCCTGGCTCTACCCATTAGCAAGCTTTGCAGATAGCGACCTGCAGCAGCGCCTATGCCCCCTTGGCTGGACAGATAACAACAGCAAGCCAAGCATCCGAGCAGGGTTCATGAGGAAATTGCTGAGTCGTTGTTTGGACTACTCGCGAGATTTCCCACTCCAGTGTTTGATGTATGACACTTGCATGGCGCGAACGATAAGTTCGGTGCAAAGCATAGCCGATCAAAAGAAAGTGTCTCCTGAGCAAATAGCATCAGACATGGACGCATTTGATGCATATTGGTCCCAGCAGCTGCGCAAGATGGAAGACATCTGCAGGCAGGAGTGGGAAAAGACCGGCGTGCTCGAACGTGCTTTGCCGTCTGTGTTCTTCACAGTGGCACCGGCTGAGTGGCGATACATATTGCATGACGGCATGTTCTGCGAGGAATCCTTGACCGACCAGCAAGGTACGATCACCCTTCATCTCTATCACACCCTGCAGACGCTATTAGACTTTCACCTCTTCAAAAATGGGCAGAGCCTTGAGCGCATCGGCGTCGCCAAGATTCGGCAGTGGTCTTTCCGCTTCGAGTTTCAATCCCGGGGCACATTGCATCTTCATGCTGTCCTGTGGGCAGACCTACTACCAGGTTGGAGCGCAGAGAACATCACTGGAAGAACAGGTACCCAGCACAACTCACCTTTCGTGGCCCTGCTTGAAGACCTTTTCAAGAGTCGCGCAGATGTCCAGTGCGGGGACGGCAGCCACAACCTGCTCATGTACGTGGCCGGGTACCTCCAGAAAGCGTCGGACGCTCTAGCCTTCAACTCCAAGCAAGCACAGCACGAAGGCACTCAGGCGCAAACGAGCAGGTGGCGCCAAACATACCGGTTGCTTTGCAAGAAATCGCCAATGGAGCAAGAAATCATTATGGAGTTCGCCGGCCTGCCCATGGTGAAGCATTCCTTTACCGGACACGCCTTGTTCGCGCCCATTCCAGGAAGTCAGGCGGCAAACAGCTCCCGCGACCAGTACTCAATCTACCAGTTCTACCTCACACAGGATCATGAAGTTCGCGGATGCGCACGCGGAATGAGCTACATGCAGTGGCTTCGACGGTTTCGCGTCGTCGACGTCAAGAAGAAGATCGTCGCCAACAGAAACCAAGCCCCATTCCTAAAGAATTGTTCCTGTGGCATTGCCATGAGCTTCCCGTTTGAACTTCTGGACATTTTCATTGGGGCTTGGGCCGCAACCTTTATGGAAAGCATGCCGGAGTATAGATTGTTGCCAAACACCACAGACGACAACGCCAATTACGGTATTGAGTTTCTGGCAGAACGCACACGCCGAGCCTCCTTCCAGGCACCACAAGGCTGCCAGCATCTGAAAGCAATATTGTGTCTGGATGAGTTTCAGGTTGAAGGCGCAAACCCAGAGGTCTTCCACCCTGAAGTCGGCAAACTCCTGACGCAGATGGAGACGGAACTCATTTTCCGTGGCATCGGCAGCGATCGCATCGCCACCTTCAAGGCCAGAGTCCACGCTTGCGCAATGCTCCTGCTCAGTGTACGAGATGGCCGGGAAGATCCGATGACGTGGACAGCTCGACCAATTGCTGCGCCTCCGCAACGCAACTGGTCAGTCGAGCAGCAGCAAGTCCTGACGTCCATACGGTCAGGAACGAGCATTAGCGACGCCGCAGTCATGGAGACTTCGAGCCGAATCCTACAAGTGAGCGGCGGACCTGGCACGGGCAAGACAGAAGTCATCATTGCTGCGGCGCGACAAGCTCTTGATGACGGTTGTCGGGTCCTCATAGCCGGGCCCATCGGGTTGTTGGTCTCCATGTACAGACTTCGCCTGCCCAACTCGGAGAACCTCACCATGGAAACAATTCACTCTGCCTTCCGCATCGTTCGCGATGCCGACGCAGCCTACATCCCGCCAGGACGCCTTCGCCAGTACGACTTGATCATCTTTGACGAAATCAGCCAAGTGGAAGCATCGACATGGGCAAAACTCAAAACGGCACTCGGTGAGCTCTCCCCATGCCCCTTCGTGGTGTTCGTCGGCGACTTTCAGCAGCTACAGCCTCTCGCCGGTGGACCCGCTTTACAGCAAGACCTGCATCGCCAAGTCGAAGCTAAGGACCTGCCGCTCGTGGAACTTCACCATCACGAAGCTGCCCGTTCGGTGGACCCCGACATGCTGGCGTTTCTTGAGGTCGCGCGGGTTAGCCAGCCTTCGAGGAGCGCTCTGGAGCACTTTTTCCGCGGGCGGGTGTGGTCTTCCGATGTTCAGCAAGCAGCGCAGGCCGCTGAGCGAGTGGAAAACGCTGGCGATGGCATTTTCACCTTCCTCACTGTGACGAACCGCGGGGCCGCCAGTCTCAACCTTGCACGCCTTGCTCTGGAGTTTCCGTCTGAGGCCGAAATCATCCGCAACGGCGGCGGCGTGCCTGCCGAGGTGGGCAATGTAGTCATTGCTCCCCGTATGCGACTTCGCCTCACCCGCAACGTCGACAAGGACCGGGGCTTTGTGAACGGGAATACGGGCATTGTCCGCACTGTTCTACGAAAAGATGTTTTCGTGTTGGACACCGCCCAGGGCATCCCTATCCTGGCGCATCCCATTACCCAGAAGGGGCGCAAGTTCCTCCCAGTGGCGTATGGATGGGCGACGACAATGCGAAGAGCGCAGGGAGCAACACTCGACAAAGTCGGCCTATGGTTCGACAGGCGCCTGCCCGACCGCGGCTATGCCTATGTCGGACTGTCTCGCGCCAAGCGACGAGAGGATGTGTTCCTCGTAGGCAGAGTCAGACGCACAGATTGGCGACCGGTCAATGGTGCCGACCATAATGAGCAGAATACGGTGTCTGCCCTCAGCGAGACCTCTGACTCGGAGGACGAAAGAAGCACCGAGAGCTCCGACAGTTCCTTTGGGCCAGGTTCCTCGGATTTCATGTCTTCCAGCAGCGAGCAAGCATCAAATTCCAACTCCTGAGACTAGCTTGTTACAGCTGCTGTACAGACACAATTGGATTTCTTAATTCTTACAGATCGTCTGGTTGAGGTCCCCATCCTCCAACTCAGGCTTGTTTGTGTGAGAGTGTGTACAGACATAAATTTCAACAAACGCCGACACATGGGTCGGCAGTCGTTGGCTTGCGCATGTCGACGAGGGGTGAGTTCCTTTTGCAAATTTGATGGCGCCACGGCTTCGTGTGCAAGACACGGCCGCCACGCCGAGGTACTTCCGTGCGAATGCTTCGTGCGTAGAAAGCAACTGGCAGAGTAGCTGCTTCCACTTCTGGTGTATTCCAACTCAAAAGATCATTTTTGCATTGCCACAGATCAAATCGACAGAAGCAGCATGCAGGCTTGGCCTGGCTTTTCAGGTTCGACTTGCACATAACATTCAAGCCGATCTCAGGTGAAGAACATCTGCATCGCAATGTCCTGGCCTCAGCTCTGGTAAATGTACAGATTGCGTACGCCGAATCAGCACTTGTTCTACTGATGATTCCCCAACCCACCCTCGATCCACTCGCCAGCGCTAAACCCGATCTCAGGTGAAGAATGGAACGCAGCCACACTCGATCCACTCGCCCGCAGAAAACACCCGATCTCAGGTGAAGAACATAGCATCGCACTGTCCTGCCCTCAGCTCTGATGAATGTACACATTGGGTATGCCGAAGTTGTTCTACTGAGAATTCCCCGACCCACCCTTGATCCAATTCCAGAGCCCCCTTCGTAGGATAGGGTCTGGCCCTGGGAGAGCCCTAGCAAGAAGGTGACAAGGTTCGGCCTTGGGAGGGCCCTTCGTGGGGGTCTGGCCTTGTGGGATAAGGTCCGGGCCTGGGAGGGCCCTTCGTGGGATGAGGTTCGGCCTTGGGAGGCCTTTTGTGGGATAAGGTCTGGGCTTGAAAAGCCGAGAACCCGGGAGGGCCTTGGCTGGCCTGGGAGGGCCCCCAGAACCTTATCCCGATAATG